TTAGTGAGGGGAACGGGCAGATGATGATTTCCTGCGCCGTCTTGACCACTTTCTGCAGTCTCCTCCGGTCTGCCTTAGTGCAGTGAGAAAACCATACTGTGATACAGTATGTTAGAATGCTCTCAATGGTGGAGCGGTAGAAGGTCACCAGCAGCTTCTCACTGATGATGTTCTTTCTGAACACTCTCAGGAAATGCAGACGCTGCTGTGCTTTCTTGATGGCAACTGTGGTGTTTTCAGTCCAGGAGAGGTCAGAAGAGATTGTGGTGCCCAGGAAGGTAGAGGTGTGGACCCTCTCCACGCAGATGCCCTTGATGTAGAGGGGAAGTGGATCTGCCCTGTTTTTCCTGAAGTCCAGGATGATCTCCTTTGTCTTGGTGGTGTTCAAAGCTAGGTTGTTTGCTGAGCACCACTTAGACAGTTTCTGGACCTAGTCCCTGTAGGCAGACTCATCAGCCCCACCACCGTCGTGTCGTCAGCAAACTTCACAAGGATGTTGCTGCTGTGGGTCAGTCTGCAGTCAGAAGTGTACAGGGTGTAGAGTACTGGGCTCAGCACACAGCCTTGTGGGGAGACTGTTCTCAGTGTCCGGGTGGAGGAGAGATGGGGTCCGAGTCTTACTGTCTGGGGCCGATTTGTGAGGAAGTCCTTGGTCCAGGAGCAGGTGAGTGGGGGGATTCTCAGGTTGTGCAGTGAAATGTTTCTGCACATGGCTCTGGTGCATGAAGCACCGCTAATTTCAAAGTAACAGAAATACAGAACCCTACCTACCTATGAACGCGCAAACTTCTTAAAATCCTATATCTTATATAGTACAACATTCGCCCCTTCTGCCTACTAAAAAACTGCTTATCTACCACATTAGTTTCCTGGGGGTGTCTGCTACATTAGCCATCTTCTATGCAGTCGATCAATAATTAAACGATTGGATGGACGTCGATTTGATCCAGGGACTTTCCTATTCAGAGGTTCCTGTCGTCAGAAGAGTGCGTCTGCAAATAATCATTTAAAAAACTAAATAAGTGCATTTATTTATTATTGTCTTTTTTAATGCTTTCTTTTTTTCTTATAATGGACGTCAATGGAGAGGAAAACGTTTAAGATAAGATAAAGTCCATATTCCTAGCATTTCGGTTTTGATTTTTTTGTCAGGTAAAACTTTATGAACAGATATGGCTGTCAGAAATTTGGTGATTTTTGGTCGCTGTTTTGGTACATTAAACCACATTAAGCTTTTTCACGTTAAGCGTTTTAGAATGTCCCTATTTGGCGTTTGCAAATCTAAAGCTCCCCCTATGTAGAATCTTTGCCGTTAATGGGGCAGGCGGAGCATTTGGTGGGGCATTGCCCCCCCGTGCCCCTGCCAAGAACCGGCCCTGCTTCAGCACCCAGTGAAAACCTGTAGAGCACAAGGAAACGTGCAAACTCCACCACCACACACACACACACACACACACACACACACACACACACACTGATTGATAGTTTACCGATATGATACTTTGCCTTTTAATTTTCAAACGCGAATAATAAAAATCTTGGTCCAACCAGGCTCACACCAACCAGCCAGATTTGTGAATTTTTTCAGTCTCTCGTTCGTCTGCCAGTGACAGATAAGTGCGTGAGGCAGAAGGGGTCCAAAACTGGCGTTTAACTCTGACAGTGTGAGTTTTGGAAATAGGCTTCCAATCATATTAAAAATGTATGAAATAAAAATAAATAAAACTGAAACTGGCAGCACCTGCTGGCCAAACAGGGAGGAAACATGAAGGGTTAGGGTTAGGGTCAGGGTTAGGATTAGGGTTAGGGTCGGACCGGCGCTAACCCTGACAGCTGGAGTGCGGTGCTGTAATGCAGTGTGATGATGGACTCTATGTGGCATCTGTAGAAGCTGAACTGCAGCTGTTGTGGGAGCTGTTCTTTATTCAGACTCCCGAGGAAGTGCAGCCTCTGAAGACCTGTTTGCTTCATCGCTGTTGTGTTGATGCACTGTGACAGGTCTTGGCTGATATGATGACCTAGGAATTTGAAGCTCTGAACTGCCTGCTGCTGGCCATCGTGTTAATGTGCCTTAGGGAATTACTTACTGCTCTATACCCAGCTTGATTCTGCTCTGTGATTTTTATACTGTAGTCCTCAGTGCTGTCTGTACCATCTGACAGTGGGGGGAGGTCAGCAGTTTCTGAGCTGCATTCTGTTTGATGGCGACGAGATCTTATAGCTGCTCTGCAACTGCCACAGCAGTCGCCTTTTGGGACGCACTTGTCATCTGAAAGCAAAATACTCTGTTACATGTCTAAATATTCTTTCACAAATTAAACAGGCAGTGCTTTTTTTTAAGCATACTATCATATTAATGATTCTCTTGAATATGTACAGAGTAATGAATACATACCTTCATAGGCCCAATCCCAGTTCTATTTTCTACCCCTTTGCCTACCCCTCACCCCTTCCCCTTGCCCCTTGAAATGAAGTGGAAAGGGGTAGGGTTAAAAAATTTCCCCTAAGAAATGGGACACCACATTTATGGCACAATGTACTTAATTGGTCTTGTGTAATCTTTTCTTGGTAGAATGCTGCCGGCGTCATTTTTTGCTTTGTTATCGGCTTTGGTTGTTGTTGTCTGACTTTTTTTTCGTAGTTCGTGGTACTTGTTGGTGATGTCTGGGCGTGTGGTCTTGGTGTCCGGTTTGTTAGGGGGTGTTTTTTGGCCCTCCGGGTTTTCTTTTTCTTTCGAGGGGGAGGTGGTGAGGTGTAGTCACAGTGGTATGACATATCTTTGGGATTGGGCCTGAGACTCGGACTAAATACAAAAGACTAGGCAGGAATAACAGGACACAGACGATCACAATTGGTAATCACACGAGGTAACGAGGTGGGCGTGGCACACATCGGGATCGAACGGAGCGGATCGTGACAGTACGTGTGCTGTGGCGGCAGGCTAGTTGGGGCACCGTTTTGTACAGTTTATTGGTTTTGAGCTGTCGCTTGAGAGTTTTGTTGCTGTCGTATGAATAACGTGTTTTAATTGTTAGTATTTAGAAGTTGACTGGCCGCTGCTGTTTGGTTTCTGCATGCGTCTACTCCCCTCTTCCACCTCCATGTTTGTTTTTCTTTTTAATGCTATCACTATAGTGCCGATCTCATTGTGCTGGGATTTGTTAAACTGTATTTGACTTTGGTTGTTTAACCCTCGTGTCCCGAGTAGTAAGCCTTGGTGGCTGAAGCCCTGTGTTCCGTTTTCTTAGCTGCCAGTTGTACCGCACACCTTCCTTCCGGTCAGTTCCAGCTTGTTAACCCTCTCTCCCTGGTGCTTGGATCAGTGCGAGCCATTAATAGCGGAGCTAAATTGATTATTGTCGTCCTTTATACTACCACGGTATTAATAAATTGTATTTGGTCTAACCCTAACCCCCCCCAACCCCTAAAACCCTAACCCAAACTGCTAAAACCCTAACCCCCAGACGGTGGAACGGCACATGCGCAAAAAGGCTCGATAGTACGTCTCGATAGGTAGCTCAACTAGTCAGAACACCGGCAGGATCCCCCCTGTAAAAGCGTCACATCTCGATCCTCTTGCCACATATACATTAATTATCTAATAAAACATGTCAATTATACTGTCAAGCTAAATGTATTTTTTATTTATAAAATCACACCTTTTTTTAAAAAAGAACATCCACAAAAGTATTTTATTGATTTTGACGCTTGCTGCAGCCAGAAGGGTGACCTCGGAACTTCCAGAGTAAATTGTTAAGATATGATCACGATTGCATCTTCGGTCAAACAGCTGAGCGATACGTCACAGGAGAAGGAATTTTTACGAGGAAGAGATTTGGCAATGACCCTTGTCAATGAACAGTGAACAGGTAGATGTCACGTTAGTTTTCTTAAGGCAGAATGATCAGGATTTGTGTCAATAAAGTGTTCTAATACTAAGTGTTGCATGAATTGCATTCATGGCAAAGACTACTTTATTCACATATATTTCATACAGAGGATAAAATCAAAGCAGTAAATTTTCAGACAAAGCAGATGGATTTGGCATCACTTTGTATAGAGTTTACAATGCAGATCATTGGCATTAGGTCTTGCAAGATGAGTAAAAGATGAGTAAATGATTGCCAGTATACCTAAATAAATATCACCCTATGATTCTTAGTGATTTTATTTCATAGATAAACCAAGTAAGGGCTATTTGACTATTCATGTGCCTTTTGATTACCCTAGTGACAATCTAGTGTTTTATTTTTCTCTGCTTCTCTCGATGTTGAATTGACATGCCCCTGCTTTTATGGTGCATAGCTACTCTTATAGCTTCTTTCTGTGAGACTCGGGTTCTGGGGAATGCTCTGGGCTATCTGAACTGGGCAACTCCAGTTGATAAATAGTGTTCTGTGCTATTATTTAGCCCTATTTTGTGTGGCACAGAAGGCTGGAGCCCTGATGCAATTGCATGAAATAGAAGCAAAAACAAACCATTCGTCCATCTTCTGTAACCACTTGTCCTACTCAGGGTTGCAGGGGGTCTGGAGCCTATCGGAGCAGGGCAGGGAACAACCCAGGGTGGGGCGCCAACCCATCGCAGGATCCACTCACACACACAGGCAATTAAGTAACACCAATTAATCTCAGCATGTTTTTGGATTGTGAGGGGAAACCGGAGTACCAAGAGGAAACCCCAGAACAACAACAACATGCAAACTCTAATGTATGGCTCTTCATAGCAAAGACTCAAACCCCAGTCTCAGACATGAGAGGCAACAGTGTTAACCACTACACCACCATGCCAGCCCTAGGAACATTTCAGGATATTAAAAATAAATTTAAATCAAAATACGAAAGGAAAAATAATGATAGTTGAGGTGTTACAGGTAATTGACAATCTTTTAAAATCAGAATAGGTTACATAATCTTAAATGATTTGAAGTGAATCTGGGGTGAAACATTTGTGCAAAACCTTAACATTCAAATCTCTGTCAAACCTTTCATGGGAATCTTCAGGGTGTCACTGTGCTTGGTGACTCTGAGACTGGCGAGAACCTTAGAAGGAACACAGTGTCTGGCTGCGTCCATGGGATGATCCATGACGTCTGCTTTCTCGGTGGGGTTATATTATTCCAGCCTTGCCCTCCATCTTCCTTCTTGCAGTCCACTTTGAATTGCATAGGCTTTAAGGCTGGAGATGACTGCAGCTTCAAGGATATATTGTATTCCCCAGTGTCAAGTACTTCAGGTGTAGCTGGTTTTATTATGGGTTTGTACTGGGTATCCACCAGCTTCCCTCTTTGATGGAGATAGATGGAGGCCCCAGGATGAGTGGGGTCAGAGATGTAGGTGATGATGAATTTGCTTTTCTTTTCTTCTTTGTTGACATCCGAAAATTCTTTGAACAGGTAAAAAGTGTCTCTCATGGTCTGTGATACGTCAGGTGTGAGAAACCATGGGGTAGACTTGTCATCCATAATGGCTTTCCCAATGGAAACTTCAGTGTTCATTTGTTTCATGAGCTCTTCAGAATGGAGAAATTTTGTGAGATCCAAAATGTATGGCTCTTCGTACTTCAGGGAGGTGAAGGCAAATGTGATGATTGCCTCATACTGCGGGTTGCAAATAAATCCATTATACTGTGCAGGAGACACTATTTGGACATTTTTTTGATTTTCAAAGGCATCAGTGTAAGATCTGAGCACCTCACATTCACTCTGCTTTTCATCCAGCCATTTCTTCATCATTTCTGTTGTAAAAGGTGAGCTGGAGTGGGATTTAAGAATTTGCACCAATGTGTCTTCACCGGTCTCTCCATTATGGATAGTTGGAATAAGCACTGACATCTTTTTCTGGACAGTTATCTCGTATTGCCTGAGCATCTCCTGAAATGTTTTCAGTTTGTCCTGTATATCAGTAGCCTGAATGGTCTCACTGATTTGCAGCAACTCATTGACTGTGATGGTAGCTCTCTGAAGGTCTTCCATGACAGTTTCCACCTTTATAATCAAGTTCTCACTGATCTCCCTCACTAACTTGGCTGCTCTCTTGTCCAGGTACTTCAGAGGGTAAAGCCACACTGTCATTGGGACAGCCTTCTCTCCTCTCTCTCCTAGAAGCTTTGGCAGGTCTTTATACACTTTAACTGCTTCCATGTAGGTAGTTGGATTTTCTTTCAGTATGACATCACCATAGAAGGTGCACTGGAATTTCTCCACCTTTTTGTGTTCCTCCTCTTTTATTTTTAGTTTTCCGCTGCCACTGATAGGAATTGTTGGAATTTTCTTGATCATGACTTCCAATGTACCCTGAATTTCCTGCTTATCTTCATTCCTGGAAGCAGTCTGATTAAAAACCATGAAGGCATCAGCTCCATACAGCACACCTGTGACAACATGAGTGGCTGTTCCATGTTTAATCACATCTGCACAAGTTATTTTGCCAATATTCTTCATATTGAGCTGCTTAAACACAGTCTTCTGGCTGTAATGCATAGTCACTCTACACTGACTTTCCGTGGTCAGTGTGTCTTTGAGATACTTTGCTGACCCTCCTACCTCAACCAGGCCCCCTAAGAAACTCGCCTTCAGGGAGGCACTTACATCCAGCAGGCTGGACTTCTTACTAAGAGAGTCAGAGGCAGTGATTTCAGATTTTGTTTGGTTCTGTTCATGTACGGTCATGTTCTTTTCAATATCTTCAGCATCCCACAATGTGACACCTGGAGTAATAGGGGAATACAGGGAAGCACTAATATGTACTCACTTCTTTATGCAACATAGATTCAATTGATCATGTCATTCAATTGGAAATACAATTGAATACTTCAATAGCTATAAAGGCAAACATAATTAGATTGTATCCATTATTTTTATGTGTCTTTCATTCTGTACCTGGAATGAAGCTGTCATTGCGACAGTCATACAGCATTCCTGGGTGCAACGGTCGTCCAAGGGCTGCGATCTGGATATTATTGCTGGTCATGATTGCTGGTCTGCAGAGAAAATTTTCTTTGCTGTTATTATTCAAATATAAAATTATTAATCATGAACTAGTGAAGGACAACCGATTATCACACAGAATGATCCTGTGGCAAAAACAACAATCAGGTTAAAAATACTTCATTTGTCTGCTGCAGAGAGTGATAAAATCAGTTTTTTACTGTAACATTTAATCCATTAGTGGAGTAACCAGTAGTACTACAACAGAATGTTAGTTTAATCCTGATTTTTTTTAAGAAGGTAACTATTTTATGAAGACTGCAGATTCTGCCAATCTGAGTTTTCATTTGTCATGCGTGACCATATGAGCATTTACTGTCCGAATAATTTTTCTCTTCAAAGACGGTAAGAAAAAGGCTGAGGAATAGACAGCAGAAAGCTTTGCCCAGTCAGTATTTAATTCATTTAGTTATGAAAAAAACATGAAGAACTGCATTCATTAAATTTTAGTCACTAATTCTGTAGTATCACAGACCGAACATTTGCAGGTAAAATCCTGATTAAGTTACTGAATTTGAAATTCCAATGATAGTACAGTAGTAGAAATGAAGATATCAAAAACATTTAGTCAGTTGACTTTACCTCAGTTGTATCCTTTTCACTGGAACAGCTGATGTGATGTGCTGTCATTCAGACTTTATATAGAGCTATTGCTGCTGGTCGTATAGAAGGAGGAGCTTGGACAGCTTAGAGATGCCAGTGTGCATGAACTTCATGTTATTTGACTCTGGGAGGACCTGAGCATTCAGTGGAAACCAGCACAACATAAGAAAAATGCAAACTACACACACACACACACACACGTGCGATATGACATGGTACGTTATTGTCAAATAGTTTTTTTTTTTAGTTTTCCACTGAACAGGAAGTTAGGCAGATTTCCAGGTTGATGGAAATTTGGCATGTGTGGAATCAAGGCACAGAATGACATGGCTGAAAGAAATGCAAACCAATGCAAGAAAGTGTAAAAATCTAGTCATGGCTCCTATTCATAGTGGATAATTGGTGTCACGGATGAAAGATTGATGGATGATTCGAAAGCCTTGGGGCCTGTATCATAAAGCAGGATTTTTGGGTTAGTGTGATAACTTGTCAGATTTAAGGCAGTCAGGACTAAATATAATTAAACAAAGGTGAAGTCCATTTAAATCTTAAATCCCACTAGTTATCTAACAACCCAACAAATCTTGCTTTATGATACAGCCCCTTGTTGGTGGTTTCCTCTATTTAGTCGAGGTACTATGAGTGTTAGCAGTAGTGCTTGATACTGCTGAGGTCAATCACTTTTGTGGTGATCAGGTCATCGTGCTACTGGTTAATTGGTTAAGTGCCTACTGTAAATTGTTTCGTCTCGACTTATTTTTTGGTTTAATGTTAAATGGTTATAATTTCCATGTACAGATTTCCATGTTTGGGCTTATTTTTGCAGAAGTATACAATGCAGTAAACTGACAAAATTCTCTGAAGTCCACTTACCTACATGCCTGTCATGTTAAGTGAAGCTGGTCCCCATCTTCATTCCCACTCCACTCCTCTCCTTTCCCAGTTTTATTCCCGTTGTTCTTATAAATATCAGAATGTTACATTGTGTCACAGATTGATGGCTCTTAATCATTTCAGGGGGGCTTTGGCTCCACTGTTTTTGTCTCAGTCCCACTGATAAATTGAGCTTGGTGCCTTCGATATTTACTGTCGCTGACTGATTTCTTTCTTCTGCATGGAACAAAACTATTCACACAAACCAAGTCACAGACACTCGGTATGTTAGGAGAAACAAGAGCTCTTCCATGCTTAAACAAATGAATAAGAATTACATGTAAAGAATACATTTTTATATGTGTATGTGTTATTGATAGGCAAGGGTGGTGTTGTGCATCCACGGTGTATCGAAAATGGAGATGTTGGGCTGTAGAGTTATCATACCCTTCAGCGTGGGATAACCCCCAATATTTAGTGTGAATTTAATCATCCCCCCACAACAAGACTTTTGTATTTAAATTATTGAAAAGTGGGTATGGATGGATGGATGGGTGGATGGATGGAAATTGTGCCTCCTAATATCAAACTGCCTCCTATTCCGTTGATCATACCATGAATGTTTCATACCATTGCAATCCTACTTCCATCATAATCAGAGTCAGTTGCTTTGCATAGAAGTACAGTTAGATAATAACCACAGTATTGTGTGTCTGCCAAGTGTGTCGGGTAAAAGTGCAGCATCATTAAACTGCCCTACCACCCTCAGCTCTCCTGTTTTTAGGGGCTGCATCAGCTTTTGGACACATTCCCTTGGGTTTTAAGGGAAAATTCAGTATTTAATTTACACTTTTGGGCGGCATGGTGGTGCAGTGATTAGCACTGTTGCCTTACACCTCTGAGACTTGGGTTTGAGTCTCCGCCTGGGTCACATGTGTGTGGAGTTTGCACGTTCTCCCCGTGTCGTCATGGGGTTTCCCCCAGGCACTCTGGTTTCCCCCCACAGTCCAAAGACATGCTGAGGCTAATTGGGGTTACTGCTATTGTCCATAGGTTTGCATGTGTGTGTGAATGGTGTGTGAGTGTGCCCTGCGATGGGCTGGCCCCCCGTCCTGGGTTGTTCCCCGTCTCGTGCCCATAGCTTCCAGGATAGGCTCTGGACTCCCCGTGACCCAGTAGGATAAGAGGTTTGGAAAATGGATGGATTTACACTTCATTCCTGGGCCTGGAAACTTCTACGTGTGTGATATGGGTTTAACACTTTTCAAATCATTTATTTATAAAGTGCATTTATAAACACCAAATGTTTACTTAAGTGCTGTACGACACAGTAAATAGATGCTATGCAAAAAAATCCTTCCATAAAATATTTAAACATAAATCTAATGATAGCCATCACTGTAGGCGGAATCCAACAGTAAAATCCAATCTAGTAATGACTTTCATCCAACACTAACATTCAAGATGCACATGCTAATGAATGAAAATGAGCCTTTAATCTGGGTTTAGAAATCATGACTGAAGAAGCTGATCAAATCTGAGACAGAAGATTATTTCAAAGGTTCGGAATGGGAACTGCAAAGGCACGTAACCCTCAGATTTTAACCAAGACCGTGGCACTGACAGAAGAAGCAGACCTCAAGGTTCTGTCTGGGACAATCTAGTTGACAATCTAAGAAAGGGTAAGCCCATTTAAAATCTTTAAAAACAAAAAGTAAAACCCTACAATTCACTGGAAGCAAATGTCAAGAAGCTATAACTGGTGAGATATGATCTCCTGTGTTAGTTAATAATCTTGCAGCAGCTGGAGATGCCTGACTGACTCCTGACTGACTCTTGGTTTCGCTTCTGTTTAACTGATCATTATCTGTTTGTTCATGTGAACAATGAATCTTCCAAGCCCGCTAAAGTTAAATATGGTGTCCCACGGGGTTCATGGTGATGATACATGCAGCCATCACCTGCCTGCCCTCTGCACTGAGATTCAGATCTTACACTCTGGACTGGATTTTGGCACCTTGTTCATTTTACTTCCTCTACTGGCCCCTGGAGGATGGGTTTCCCCCTCTGATTCCTCCGAAGGTTTCTTCCTACTAGGGAGTTTTCCCTTGCAATTGTTGTCTATGACTTTAAGCAGGGATAATGTAAAGCCCTTTGAGACAATGTAATAATAAAAAAAAATGTGCTATTCAAATAAAATTGAATTGAATTGAACTGTATATAAGGCATTACAACAGTCTAAACACAAAGAAATGAAAGCATGAATAAGCTTCTCAAGATTATAAAGACAGAAAAGGCCTAACCTTAGCTACCTTCCTCAGCTGACAAAAAGCTTCCTTTGACTAATGAATTGATTTGTCTGTCAAACTTCAAGTCTGCATTAAAATTACTCCCAGAATTTACACCCATGGTTTTAAGCCTCATTGAGAGGGTCTTTATAACTTTGGGCAGTCTGAATAAAACAGCCTCAGTTTTGCTCTAATTTAAAGATTATGAGCCATGCAAGTTTTGATTTGAGCAAGCCAGTCATATAGATTCTGTAAAGGGGACTAGGCTTCAATGGCAGGGCTAACATGGATCTCTGAAGAACCACACACAAAACAGGCACAGACGACAAGAAGGAATTTCAGGTATTAACTAAGACGGTTCTGTGGCTAAGATAAGATATGAACCAGTTTATGACGATGCCAACCAAGTGCTCTACACGCTCTATAATAGCCTAGGGTAATATTTTGAGATAATATCTGAAAAATATGTAGCGTTTAGCTTTTCTAACTACCTTCTGAAAAGTGGTCAAGCAATCTATACAAACATCACGACACACTCAGTTTACCCTTCTGTCATCTTTCGCTCTGCTTTCCTGCACGATTGCCTGAAATCAAGGCTGAGTTTGGCCCTTTTGATCTTCAAAGGAGCAACAGAATAGAGGATCAAGAAACATTTGGAGTGGAACTGGGTGAATAATTCCTCTGCGTTCACCTTCGCAGTGTCCATTTTATTAGACCAATCTGAGGGCCTGTACAAAAACACCTCAATATAAATTCACAGGCTGTGTGTTCTGAGATACACCAAGTATATCGGACTGGGGCAGTGTGAGAAATAATGGGTCCTCACAATGTAGCATTTAAACTTAAAACCCAGGACAGTGATACAGTGTGTCAGCATGACAGTGTGTGGGGCCAACCACATATTGGGTAAGTTTGAAAGAATCAGTAAGTGAGTAAACTCATTAAGCAATGGTTTGGATGGACAGCAGATATAAATATTAATATCACCCAAGATAAAAATTCTCTCAAAGGTATGCAAAGTTGAGGAAAAAAAATATCTGCATATTTATAAAAATTTATACCATCCATCCATCCATTCATCCATTTTCTATACCGCTTCATCCATCTGGGTCACGGGGAAGCTGGAGCCAATCCCAGCATCATCGGGCGTGAGGCGGGGTCCACCCTGGGCAGGTCACCAGTCCACCACAGGGCCAACACAGACAAACAGCCACACATACTCGCATGCACACCTATGGGCAATTGAGAGTAGTAAAAATTTATACAATTTATAAAATTCTTGTTTTGCTTAAGGAGTCTGTAAATGAGTGGACATATCAATGGATCAGTGCATGAAATTTTAAAGGTGAACATTTAAATGCTAAAGTACGTATTGACAGAAAAAGCCAGACATTTAAAATGATTTTTAAAAATCACTGATACTCGTACATCCCGACCAATGGATCTGGGCTGACTTAAAAGCTATAGTCTATAGTCTATCTCAATCAGTGGGATCGCCTCATCAGTACTGAGCCAGGTATCTGTTAAAAATCACAAGACCAACTTTGGAGAAGCCAAATAATAATGAGCAGTGGTGTATAGACCAGCAATCTGAGAGAATAAGGTAGCGTGAATTAAAGGCCACTTTTTTATGCAATAAGTGTTATTTTGGTAAATGGAGAATGGTGGCAGGCAAGCTGATCCTGCTGTTACTTCCATCTGCCTATGGGTGGCACTGTTTAATAATGGTGCAAAACCACAGTGACTTATTTAAGTTAGTGACTTGTAATTAAATTTCTATATTTTATACGTCTTCATTGATCCATTTGCGATATTTGAAAATATAATATGTATATATTAAGAAAAGTAAAATGCAACAAATGCCTTTCTACTCCCACCTGTAAGAGTCAGGATAGCAGACAGAATCACGTGATACAGGGACTTTGCAGCAAAGAACCGGTTTATTTACAATCTTTTCCCTTTTCAGGGTTTTTGTGGTGATGGGGTTGGGTCTCAGCTAACAGGAATTAGAAAAGGTAAACCAGTTAGCTAAGCTAATGGACCAAAATATAAACAAACTGGATTTACGGGACTGGTGTCAAACTGGTACTCACAAAACAAGACATACCAAAATATGCAGTGTGTGGCAGATAGGGCAGATAAATCAATACAAGTAACTCCCACTGACTCCTCCTCCTGAGACACTCATTGTGTGCCCCCCCCCACTGTCTCATTTCACAAATATCGATGCCACCAGAAGAGTCTCCCAGGACAGGCTCTGTGACCCTGAACGGGACAAGTGGCTACAGAATGTAGATGATGTCAGAAGGCTTCCTCCATTATTCCATGTTTACTCTTTGTTCTGCTTTGGGTAAACAGATGTTTTTATTCCCAGGTGTGATTTACTCTAAGATGAAGCTACATACTGTCAGCAATATGGCCATTTTACAAACCAGCGGTGGTTTGGGTGTCACAGCACCGCATCACATTGGATGACACTACGCCGCTAGTTTCTCCGAAAAGAATCCAGTCCTGCGTTGTGGGTTTTCCAGATCTACCTTAGAGAATTATCGTGGAAGCGCTGGTTGGGTTTAGCAGGATGATATCAACAGAAGATGCACTGTGAGGTGAAGGTTGTTTTTGGGTGGGATAAGGCAGAATCAGGTAGCCTGTTCTGTGGTCTAATTATATGGTTCATGCAGCAGCTGAGTGGGACACAGACCTTCTACATCGGTTACTTCAAGTACCTCCAAAGAGACCCTCTGAGAAGTGGGGTGAAGTTTCATAGGTTACCTGAGCTGTGGATTGGCCCTGGATTTCACACAGAGCACACAGTGTAACAGGCCATACACAGGAATAAGGTGGATAAGGAGACAGAGGGCGACATTCACGCTAAAGAGACAGATGGGGCAGCTAAGATGGGAGCGCCGTCTTCAGACTGTGGTCATGACTTTGAGGGAACCGTTGCGGAAACGCAGGATCTTCTTCTTGAGGGCGTGCGAGGCCTTGATCTTCGTGAACGCCCCGGGCTCCGAGGCCTGGGCAGGAGCCAAGGGTGGAATTAGCCGAGGGAGCAGTTGCTGGGGCCACACCAGACTCCCGCCCTCGTCGGAGTCGCTGGATAAGGAGCTGGAACCGGCGGAATCTGCTTCGCTCGTGCTTGATTCGGTGTCTCTGAGACCTGGTTTGATGCAGCCATCTGCTGTATGACAAGCTGCACACTCAGTGTATCCGACTCCCTGTTGAGGATGCAAGAGCCCAGAGGAGTAGCAATAGGTAGGGGGAGGGTATGGCCTATGGCCGTGCCTGGAGGCGTGGCCACCCAGAGGCTCCGCCTCTTGGTTGATCTCCTGTGTGGAGTGCCAGCATCTGTCCACTGTACTGACTGGCTGGGACCCTTCTGGTTGGGCTTGGCTCCCCTTCAGCTGATCTTGCTCTACAGTGTTGTACTTGTGTTCAGTAGACTGATGGTCCAACAGACTGTTCTCCGACTGGGAGCGGCAGGCCGTTCGGCCTTGTTTCATCGAGGGAGGGTGCTCCTCCCCAGGGTAGCATTTCTTCACAGATGTCTCCGGTCTGGGCCTGAGATGTTTGGGGGCATGCAAAGTCCAGCCTGAATTGGAAAACACAGAAGGCCAGTGTGTGGAGGTAGAGGCTAGAGTTTGCCGTGCCTGGCCAGGAATGCACTGAGCCTTCACTAACTGTTCACCTGGTACTTGGTGAGAATAGGGTAGATAGTACCTCTGGGAAGACACTTCCTGTCCGCGGTTGGGTTTTAGAGCCCTGCGGGAAAAGTCTAGGGAAGCCTGGTGTAGGTCATTCAGGTGTGAAGGTGTGGGTCGAGCACGGAGCAGAGGCAGGAAGTCCTCCAGAGCCTGGGCCACCCCTCTGCTTTGCCCTTGCTCTGTACTGTGACTTGGCTGCACCTGGCGGCCCAGATTCTGTGGCATGTCACTGCGTTCCAGTGCAGGAGGAATCTTCGTCCAGCAGAGACTGTTTTGTCTGGAAATGGCCCTGGCCTCGAGTGCGAGGCCGCCGCGAGACCTGCTGGGCCGGGGGGCCAGGGTGTATCGCTGGATCAAGCCCAGGATATATCTCTCCACGCGCAGAACTTGCTGGAAGTCCTCTCCGTAGGTTTCCGACTCAAATCCAGCTGGATACCTTGGGTCCCAAGGCCAGGGTTCCACCTCCCCACCCTCTGCGATGCCCTTCAGAGACGCGTGAGGGACGGAGAAGGACCGTGGCACCGCGCCACGAGGCACATAATCTAGCAAGCCCCCCCTATTGGCAGCAAAGATGTCCCCTGCAGGCAGAGAGCAAAGCACAGTCAGTCTAAACAAGAGACTATGGCTGGGGTGGCTGATACCGCCCAGATTCAGACAAAACACACAGAGCTGCAGACAAGACACAGAGGGACAGATACAATATAGTCGGTCGTAGCATCTACAGATGTGAGGTCCACTGTGGCACAGCACTGCTGCCGATTCCCATATCCACAGGGACACATTCCTTAACCACATCGTTCTTCCTCGAGCGAGGTCGTGCTGTAAAAGAACGCGTGTGTGTGTACGTATTCTTCCGTACAGCAGTCCTTTTACTCCCTCGGTGGTTTAGCCACTGGTGGAGAGCACCATGTCATGTGACCAGGCTAAATAACTTCCCCTATCTGATCAGGGTGATAAAGGGCTGTAAATAATTAGGCACCTATGAATGCCAACTGGACAGCCGAACTAAGTGTGCATGGGCAGAGTTTCTATCAAGACTTGTGGGATGTTGCCATCTATTTCCAGGAACTCCAGGACTCAGCCTTTTAGGAATACTGACACGTGTATTATACCCTCATTCTATACTAGCTGATGTAGAACATCTACATCAGCTAGTAAAATGTCACAATAAGTTATTGGCATGTATCTCCATAAAATCATCATGCACACAGTGTTTATGCTGCTGTGGCCATGATGTGCTATGGGTCTGGCTGGGGCATGAAACAGGAGCTGAGTGGTTTGGTGACAATTAAAGGTAAGCAGTTGTGTTTACTATTACTCTACACATTTATGTGAAGCTACAAAGTCACTGTAGTACATTTTAAATAAACGCGTTCCTTATTTAGCGTCCTGCTAACCAGCTAGCTAGCTACAAGCTTCGGACTCTACTCAGTGGCTGTTTGTTTCGTCTTTGAAACATCTCAGGGGGGCCGTGCTGGACCCCAAAGTGACTTTCAGTGGGGCTCCATAAACAATAAATGCGCCCCTGTTTGTGAGCAGCGTGTTTTGGGGTGGGGGGCCCTCACCGACAGACTTGGGTCTTTGCGCACTGGCCATCCACATGGCCCGGGCGTGGCCGGGAGAGAGCTCATCAAAAGCAGAGGGATCGGAGAAGCCCAGCGGCGACTGACCCTCACTCTGCTCGTAAAACCCTGGGGACGCATAGAGGCCGTCAGTGCAGCTCTGCCCCCCTGTCGTTCATAAAGGGGCTTCTCATGTCACACAATGCTGAACAAACATGCCAAGGTAGAAGATTAGCGAGCTTGCAGAATGTAATCACACAAATTAAAAATTTGCAAAAAATACAGCAATTAAGCAGTTATGCAACTTGACATATTATATGGGTTTCAAACACTATATACAAATTTAGTGCTGTCTTTCTGTATCTCTATGACAATGACAATGATTATTCATTTGCTGGTTTGTTTGTTTGTTTATTTGACACGGTGCATAACCTGAGCTGGGCCGGCTGTCTCCAGCATCACCAAGCGAGTCGGCGGAGGCTGTTTCCGTATCCACCTTCAGTTCCCCCACTTGCTGCTCCAGAGCTGTCACTAGCCCCCAGGGGGCGCACTGCAAGCTGTTCTGTAAGATACACATAGACATAATTAAGTGACAGGGACAAAACAGACTACCCTTAAATTTCGGTGCTTGAGTCTGTGGGCACGAACACTAAAGTCAAATGCTATCGTCAACGATTTCAATTAACGTGTTATTGTACTGACACGCAATACACTGGGACACATGCAGACATAATTACATGCCTGTGTGCATGTAAACAACACCCCCTAAAGCATGCAGTGCTTAAGCGAGCCTGTATGGGCAGTAAAACACCCTCATCAGTAGGAAGAACACATCGAAGGCAGTGTATGACACTGGGTTACGACACTGCACCCTTAATCAAATCCAGTGATTGGCGGAGTGATGTCACTGCTGGGCCCTGAACCCCAAAAGCAGAGGCGGACATTTCCGGTCCAGAATCTGCTTACTGGATTTGAAACAGATAAAGATCATCTATGGGTCAGATTTACATTCAATGCTAATGTACAGAGCCCTCTGCTGAGACCAGGGATTGAACCAGCAACCATCTGATCACAGGTACAGACTTAGCTCACTGGTACACTCACTGCCCCCATCTGGTACACTCACTGCCCCCATCTGGGCCACATCTGAATTAAACTTTTGACTGTAGTGCAGATACAGGCCAGATCTGGTGACCTTCAAAATGAACGGGAAACATTAAGTGCAGCTGTGAAGTGCACTGCTAGGACAGTTTGTATCAGGCCCATAGAAGCAGGACTGAAGTCCCATTAAGCGAGAAGAAGCCCTTCATTAATGAGAAACAGGGAAGATCCAAGCTGCAGTTTGCAGAAAAAAAATATATTTTACACAGAAGGATGCCCATAAATTGAGAAATGAGTGAAACAAAAAAATATGCTGCAATCTATTAATTTTTTCTGCTGCTGTATATAATCTTTGTTTAGAAAATTATGACACATAAATATATGACAAGGAAGGCATTCCCAAAAAAACTACTGATTCTAATACTTAAAAAAAGATCCGAGGATACAGTTCAGACTATACTGCTAACTGAAAGGGTTTTATTTTACTATTGTTTTTATTTTCTGCTGATGTATCGCAGTAGTGTTTATTTGCAGAAGCATAAACCAGCACTTCAAAATGGACCTAGTTTGATTTGCGTAATAAACGTCAATGAAACAAAGTCTGTCTTTTTTTAATCAAGGCCTCATGACTGACCAATGATCAGCATGCACAGGGCAAAAGGGCTCTGGAGCAGTTAGCCATCAGCATTAATCAGTTTGAGGTCAGAGGTCATTTTCAATTTTCATGCCAAGTATATTATAAACAAATGTGTGGCATATGTGCCATATTTCACACAAGTGTGCTGATGACTTCACTCAACTCTCTTTAGCTACTGAGTAACATTACTCAGCAACAAGGAATATTATTGCAAGACGACTTTTATTTTGTGCTATTAGCAAAGTGTTGTGCTTGATGTTAGGTCACTCCTTGTCTCTGTATGTACTTCCTTCAGGCCATGTGGACCCGTCTTTCTGTCGTGGTCAGACTGCTGGTCTGGGAACAAAGTGCTATTCATCTCGACCACTGCATCAAATAACGGAAACTGACAGGCAGCCTAACATTCAGTGCTGCTAATATGTGAGCACTGAATGTTTCTCAGTCAACTCTGCCAGGAAAAAATCCTCAGACAGTCAGTCATGTTTACTATCATTCTAAATCGGTCCAGCCAAAGAGGCGGTATTGTGTTTGTGCTGGGAGGGGATCCCAAGTACAGCTCTGTGTGTTTCAGAAATGTGGCCAAGAGGCCCTGTTGGCTTAAAACCTATGAATTAATCAACACATAACCATGGAAATGCTGAATTCCTCTGGTAGGGAGCAGGAGATAAGGAGAACATGTGTGAGACATTACCAATCAATCAATGAATGGTGCACTGAAGCAGACGCTCACTCGCTCACTCACTCACTCACGCACTCACTCACAGACATTACCAATCAATCAATGAATGGTGAACTGAAGCAGATGCTCAATCACTCACTCACTCACAGACATTACCAATCAATCAATGAATGGTGCACTGAAGCAGACGCTCACTCGCTCACTCACTCACTCACGCACATTACCAATCAATCAATGAATGGTGAACTGAAGCAGATGCTCACTCACTCACTCACTCACTCACAGACATTACCAATCAATCAATGAATGGTGCACTGAAGCAGATGCTCACTCACTCACTCACTCACAGACATTACCAATCAATCAATGAGGAGTGCACTGAAGCAGACACACACCATCACAAGCTTGTGTTTCCATCTGCATGCAAATCCACACGCAGAGACTCAGCACACACAGGCTAATTACTCACCAGGGCCAACGTCCTTGATTCCCTCCACTCAATTAAGCCTTAATTGTCCTCAAAAAGATATTAATTAGCTCAGTTATGACATTGCAGAACGCAGTGACAGACAGTGAATGTAAGTGCTGGGTAATTACAGAGATGCTGGGTGTTCTGTCATGGTAGTTATCCTGAGAATCCCTGGGGAAGACATCCCCCCCCCCCACACACACCCTACTCTGTACACGCTCATCCCACACCAAGCAATGATGTATGAAAGATCACAGCTCCTCCGGAGCTCGTTTTTTTTTGCTGGGGGGCTGTGGACTTTTGGGGGGGGGGCAGACCTCAATAACAAAGACACTGCTCAGGCGATATGTTCAGATTACACACACACACACACACACACGCACGTTTGTAATTATATCTTTGTGGGGACTCTCTATTCAGTTCCATGGGGAAAGCTCTAATCCTAACATGGCAACCTTAACCCCTACCCAGTCCTGACTTCAACCATAAGTAACCAAATAGAATTTTTAGTTTTTTGATTGCATTCACTGATCTTTGTGGGGACCTGAAAAGGGGTATCCACAACATTAAAATAACAGATTTTTATTAGTTTGCGGGGGACATGTGGTCCCCACAATGTAATGTAAACATCACTCACACACACGTACCAACTTCGCGACAAATGCTGGCTTTATACTCATTACACTCGCCACCGAGGCGCTGAAAGCCAAGCACAATGCAAAGGCCCAGAGTGACGTCGTCTTTTATCACCCCCAGTAGACCTCAGCCCACCCTGATTTGCAGACTGGCTCCAGCGGTCATTTTCTCCCCTAAAACCATGCCTAGTAATTTGCTTTTTTGCATTGTCCTCATGCAGTGCTTGTTAATGCCCACGGTGACGGCATTTCTCTGCTACACTGGGCGGCCATACCTCTTTTTTCTGGCTTGTCCTCTGTTTTTGGACCTAAAATGTATTTTTTGGACATATAAATAGCCAAAAACATCAAGGATTTTGCTTTGTTTTCGTGCTGACATTTGCTTTCCACAGTCGGAATACTTTCTGAGTGTATATTCGCATTGCTTTAATGTCTCTTGCCTCCAGTGTCCTTTTTTAAAAGAAAAAATTTATGAGACCAATCCCATGGTGCATTGCGTCCAAAGTTGGTTCTTGGGAGGCAAGTTAGCAAGAGCGCTCAGTTCTGTTCACCATCCTGCCCAGAATGATTCATATCCCAGCTAGCCAATAAACACTAATGTAAACAAGCATATAGTGTCTTTCTCTGTTGGTCCTTCTCTCTTTCACCGAAGCAGTTACACACACTGAACTGCAAGCACACTCAAGATCACTGCCCGCCCATAAGGTTAGCTGGACGTCTGGTCTGCAGTGCACACAGCAAGATCACTGCCCGCCCATAAGGCTAGCTGGACGTCTGGTCCGCAGTGCACACAGCATCTTTGTTTCTCTCGCTGTTTCTTACACTTTGGATACAGGGCTGGTGTGCAGTGCTTTCTCCGTTGCTCATTGCCATTCTTCAGCTGTCACCCTGGGTGGCTTTATACTGCGGGGGGGTGGTGACCGTTTCAGCTGGGTTCATCTATCTTGGTGCGATTTTTCTCCTGCAAACACAGCCTAGGTCACCCAGCAGGCTGGGGGCCACAGCCTTTTGGGGTGGAGCTCCCCCCCCCCTCCCGCAGCTTCACACACACACACACACACACACACAACTGCCACTAATTGAAACAGAAGTGGTTTGACTCATCGCTCATTCCCCTTTCTGCTGTCATGCCGGTCAATTTTCATCAAGCCTTTATAAACGAACCCCTTTCAGCAATGTCGTTTCATCGCTAAGGACAATCGACCATTATATCTCTCTCAGCTGAAAACAGATGAGACCCAGCAAAGCACATTTAGATCGTATTTGCGATTTTTCAAATATATGTTTATTGAACCAATTACTTAATGAATCCAGGAAAGATCGATGAGCGGTACTATATACGTAATGAAACCAAATCCGTTTCAAATATTTATCATTTCATTGGCACTTCCTTCAATAACGTGCAGGATCTGAAATACGTCGGTTGCCCCAAGTTATCTAAGATGCACTTAGCTTATTGTCCGGTGATTCTTATTCATCACGGAAGTAAAAATAAGATAAACAATAATGATAAAATAAAGGAAAAACCAAAAATAAAGACAAAGCGACGGTGAGTCTCAGGACAGGTCATTAACTGTGCTGCTGCAGCGGAGCCGAAACGCAGCAGAACCGGACGAGCTAATTTGTATTCAGCGCCACTCGCAGTCATTGTTTGCACCGCGGCAGGCAGAGTCAGCAGGAGGAGAGGAATTAATAATCGAATAATAATAATAATAATAATAATAATAATAAAAGTTTAATTTGTTACTCGGTTAGATCCTAAATTATAAAATCAAAGGGGATGCGTATGTAAAGCACCTCATGTTTATCGACGGAATACCACTATGCACCTAAACAGGAGGCAATAAAACCCCGAGTGTAATATTACACACCCCCTTAGTCTGCATGTGAACTGTAAAGGCGTGAATGTGGATTGTAAAGGCGCTGGATACATAAGCAGAAAAAAACATTAAATTAATATGATAGAATAAAGTAAGCGAATTCTTTACTATTAGGTAAAATCACCACGACAGATTTCAGAAACGTGTTTAACATGTGGGTTTAATTGAATTGTATTAATTGTATTCGTTGTTTGATTTTCATGCAAATGTATCAAGAATGCAAAGTTTTTTTCTGCTGAAACGTTAAACTACTAAAGTAGGATGGGAATTCAGCTAGTTATAGCAGATCTTTTAAATCAACACTTAATGAAAACATGGGATTTGTTTGAATTGTACGAGTTAATCCTAAATGCAAGCCAATGTTAGAAAGATGCGAATAACTGAAGAGAGCAATGTCAAAGTGATTACTTTACACAATGGGTGTTTATATATGTGCGCTTCCCCTCCCAGTCCACAGCTGAGAGACAGACAGACACACATGGACAAAGGCACCATCAAACACAACTATTTGGTGTCGAGAGTCACTTGACCGGACAACGGCGTCGAAAGGGGTCATTCCGAGGGGTTACTCTGACAACTTTGATACCAGCATAACCAGCACATTATTTTATTCCACATACTAACTCGTTTTCCTGCAGATGCAAATAAAATGGACACACGCCTTCACCAACATCGACGACGACAACAATAACAACAACAACAACAACAACAAGCAAAGATACTGGGTTTGTTAACATATGTCTTAATTTGGTCTTGTAGATGTTCTTACCAACTGGCGTCTCAAAGTCAAGTCATCTTGCCCTGGCATGGGCCCCGAGGGGGCGGAGAGGGGAGGCTGCAGGTCGCCGCGGGCGGGGTGCCCCGGGACGGTGTCCCCGAAAGACAAAGCGCCGAGAACCAGGCACTCCTGCCTCTGCTTCAGAAGCTCCAGTTTGCAGAGCCCCGCCAGGCTCGCCTCAATGCGCTCCTTATTCCGACTGCGATCTGCTGTCACGGGGAGAGAGAAGGCGCCTTGCATAGCTCCCCTCCTTCCCTGCCTTCTTTTAGAACAATAACCCCTCTTTCACACTTTCCGGGACGCAAATGTATCTTTTCACTGTAATTTTACTTTTTCTTCAACATTACACTTCAGATGTTGCTATTTTCTGCAAATTCTCGGACCGCTGATAACTCCAGTTAGTTTGTTCAGCCGCACAATCTTGCACTTGTACTAGACTGAGCATCAATCGCTCATCTTTGTCGTTTTTCTCTGCTACTTCTCAGTCCGCAGCTGTCAGCTGCCAATTAATGTATTCCATTCTTGCTTTGGCTCTATTGGGGGAGGAATCTATGATGCATTAAATATTTATTACTTCTGCCCTGCCCCCGCAGCTAGTCTTCTCCCGCTCCTTGACGTGGCTGGACCGCTGTTCTTGGTTGCTTAGTTTACATAGTCCAGCCTCCTTGCAGCGGATTCGCTGAAATCCGCAAACAACCCGCCTTTTCCCGCGAAATAGCCCCACCCCTCGCATAACAATCACCGAAGCTGGTTAATTATAATAACAGTAAACATTTCGGTTCAGAAATTTCCTCACTAAAGCATCATCATAAATCGTATTTTAAAGTATTTTAATACAAGCCCATCAATAATGTACTTACATTCATTTCTAGATACAGGCGTAAATAAACACAGCTACCTAAGAATAGAAACTTACTTTTTAAAAAGATATACATTTTATGCATTTACATTTTATGTGGGCTGTATTTAAACTATTTCAATATATTTATAATAATACAGATCAACTGGATGGTTACACATTTACGGCTATGATAACGTCAGATTAAACATGCTTTCCTGCATGCACTACTAATGGAAAAAACGATTTTTTCCTCCAATTTATAGAGTCTATTTGATAAATCACATAATTACAGTATTTTGCGTGTGCAGGACATTATTCATTATTTATTCCTTTTATTTCAGTTTCCCCACCCAATGTGGCTGTTTAATGATTATCTCTGCTATGAGTGAATATATGCTGACCCACATCTTCTTACGCGAGAGTTGACACACAGATTCGCATTGTATGTTTTTAAAACGACAATAAATGTGTCTTATGTGTCATTACATAAAACTTTGCACTTTCAAAACCTACTGAAATGCCTTTCTGTTAGAAAAGGTAATTTTCATGACTTGCTATATTATTACTGTGCAAATGCGATGTCCGGAACAACTCTGTAGATACCTAGAGAGGGATTAAACTATAAAACCACTAACACTTAGAGATTATACTCCTAAATACAGACATTATAAAATTAAATTTAAATACCTAATATAAAGAATGATTAAAAAAGAAGAATAGTAAAATTCCAGTGCTGGAAGAAAAGAATCCAGGAGCATATCATTGTTACAGAATATTACACTAAATAGAATATTTCACTTGGGGAGGGGGAGGGTAGAATAAATAAATTACTGCCCTTGAGGACTGGGGAGGCAAATAAAGGAGCAGTCACAGTGGTTGAGCTCCTAACGAGAGACCTTTCATAATGGCGTCGCAAAACCATAGTCAGAGTCACATTGCCTTTAAAGCACAGCACACCAGCGACCTGTGAAATGAAGCGACCTGAAATTTGCGTGTAGCTGCTGTATTGCCTGTTTTCTGCACGTGAAGGTTGAATTATTTAAAAAATTGCTAAATTGCAATGTGTGCTGTCAATCAACGAAGTGGGAAATAAGAAGTGGCCAGTGATTTACAGGCAGGGCCTGAGCTAGAAATTCATTCAAGCCCCCGTTTAGACTGGCACCTTCAGTCCTATGGAATATGGGCCTCACTTGTATAATACAATGTGCAGAGCAGTATGGAGAAGAGACTCCTGGGTAGATCTTTCTGAGTGGGAGCCTGACATTAGGATTTGAAGCCCCTATAAAATGATGGGTCCCCTGTATCTGCCAGAGTATCCAGGCCCCTCCCACATCTGTTTACAGGACACCTACTCCCTGTGATGCTCCAAGATCCATGAGGATCAAAGCAAAATGAACCCATGTTAGTATGGACTACAGTGTGCCAGCGTTTCCCAATCCAGTCCTTGGGGACTTGCAGACAGTCCACGTTTTTGCAAAAATGTCTGGCAGGGAGCTGGGAGGGAGCAAAAACCTGCACCGTCTATCGGTCCCCGAGGGCTGGGTTGGGAAACCCTGCTGGGGACAGTACTGACTTCACACGTACTGAATGCTTGATATACTTTTTCAAATAACAAATCGAAAATAAACACAGGTGACAGCAATCCAAAGCTTTGTTCAATACTCTTTATTTATATCTTCCATTTCTACTTCACATGAACCAGAAAGCTGTTGGGTCTTAGTCTCTAACAGGCATAGTCACCCATGGACCACAGTCTGCGCACAGCGCAGTTGTGCTTGTCTGAGTACAGCGTAAATATAAGCAACATATACATACAGTATATATGTATAAATCTATTCAAGATTCATCGATAGAGATCCAAACAGGTTCTAAAAAACATACATCAGATAATGTTGTGACAAACTTTAAGGTACGAGATATTTTTTTTTTCCCACTGTGAATGAACGGAGGATTGTACTCCAGTGGTGTGAAAGCTGGTTTTGGCGAGAGACTGGCATTGCCGTTCCAGAGGACTGCTCCTACAGAAAGGCAGTGTACAGAATTTTCTAGGATCCCTTGGGCAAATGTCTGAGCAATAAGCTCTCAAAACAGGGCAAGTATGTTAGCAGTTCATAATAATGCCCAATGAACCATTCCCCACTCTGGCTCTCCAACACATTAGAGATTAATCTCTTTTACCATGTACTTCATTTTAAAGGACTTTAGATTACAGTCCTATTCACTAATTCAAACATGGTCAATCAAAGATTAAATTAGTTGTAAATGTTTTCAAATGACAAACTGCATTTTATTCATTCCTTGCACTATTGGTAAATAAGAACCAAAATTGTCACTTTTCCCCATAAAATTGTCGGTTTTGACCAGCTCTGGCTGATTTAGACACCTTCCACTTTGCACCTGTCCACTTTTTGCCCGATTAAAAGACAGGTCCTCAAGATCATTTTCACTGTGGTATATAAGCAGGCTCATGCACTATTTGGAAATCATACAGTATGTCAGAAACCGAGGCTCTCGACAAACACGAAGATGTTGTGACGAGGAATCACACACAGAGCCAAATAGATTACAGCAGATGTCGGAGTGCTTCTCGCTCTGCACTGAAAAGACTGAATAAACCATTCAAAAGAACAAAAATTATAACAACCTTCTGACAAAACTGACTGCAAACTCATTCACTCCTAATCAACTTTATACGCCATTTGTTTGTATTTAATCTGGGGCAGAGGCAGGTCAGTCTTTTGTATTTATATTTGAATGGAAAAAAGAATAAAATGATTCAAGACCAAATAAAATGAATCATCGTTGTATATGAAAACAATCTGGTTTTAAAGCATTTAACACACTGTCCTGTTTTATAGAAATAATCAATTTCACAATCAAGTATGATTATTTGTGCACGTGTGTGTACATACACACACTATAATATTTAAAATGCAAAACAGTACCTAGTATTCGTTACGAAAATAATTATTTTCTTGTTTATTATGGTAAATCTGGAACATTCCAACTACATCTATCCAACCCTCAATCCATGATGTCGATGAGGAACCTCACACATGAATACTGGTCTCAGACTCATCTGAAAGACAAAACTGCGGTTTTTTTTGCAGCTGTTATACTATATGTGCAATACCTCTGGCCTAACAGTTCAAGAAATGTGAAATCCATAACACAGAGTGCGACTACTTCCTAAGGTCTGCGCACATCGCTGACTTCCGTTGACTCATTGACTCAGAAAACAGCTTAACTTGCAATTTGCAGTTGGATGAATTGTATGCCTCGTGTTCACTGGGCTATTCAACACACAACTGTGTTATAAACATTGTGACGTTGGGCTTTACATAAGCTATAAAGCATCAATGACAACAATTTGTATTAAACAGCAACTGAACCAATATAACTGTATGCTTGATAAGCACCATGTAACCACTATGTAAGTACACACTGGTAAACAGCTACTACATCTGGAACAGAAGGTGAAATTATATTATTCAGAAACATACTCAGTCTGACCCACATTGAATGTCTCAATAACTTCATCCCAACAACATGCCGACTGAACACTCGCACTTATGTAATAAATAAAAAAAACATCTGTGAAAATTACACACTGCAGCAGCATTGAATTGGTAAATTACACAGTAGAAAAAAAAACAAACACAAAAATGAAACACACTGCTACCAGTATAAATCACAAATGTAATATAAACATGAGGAGAGACACCGATATACATAAAACTTTCATGTGAATTCGGATACATGATCTTGGATCTGCTATGTGTAGCTAATTCTGTGAATGTTAATTTGTAGCCTAGGGGGGGTTAAGATTGTGCTGAATACAAAAGATGAATATCTAGTTACTGCTTTCACAGAACCCTTCCTGGCTTGAGAGGGTATCCTACAGTCAGCTATACCCATGTATACGTTTCCGTTCCTCGAGCATTCCCTCATTCTCATCATGCCATGACGTATTAAAATTATCTGCACAGATTTTTCCACCATCCCAGCACAGCACTTTGTTTTTTCTCACCGAAACACAGACGCGGCAGTGGAACCTGACCTAGCATCCCGTTAAGACATGAAAGCTGGTGTGCAGAGGACAGTTCGGGGAGTTGTGGTGAGTTGACTGTTCTAGTACATTCTTTGTGACCACATTGATCACGACCAGTTCGATGACAGTCACGATACCACACGGATTTATCGAAGTCACCATACCTTGGGGTGAATTGCACAGAAAAATCATACCATCATACATTTAAATGTGTGAGATGCTGAAAACAGTTCAGACCATTCAGACCTACTCTATAACTTCCTCATCCAATAGGCACACATCTTATTGGGGGTAAATGTAAAATACAGACATTTAGGTCTATTGGGGCAAATTATTTTCAGTTTCTTCAAGCAGGGGATAGAATATAGTCCTTTTAGCACATCTACAATAAATAACTGAGGGCCACAGTCACCTCAACCTAACCCCTCGCCCCCAGACTCTTTCATGTTTAATCAGAATTATGTTATCTGGTCTTCTTGGATTTTACACGTACTGTGTTCTGCTACATGCAGAAGACACTGGGAGACATTAAAATGGGTTTTATCCCCAGAACCTAATAAAAGGCGCAATATGCTCGATTGGACGTATCAGCAATTGCATAAATGTTTTATAATCTCTGTGCTTCCTAATAATACTCTGGAAGATGGTTCAACTAAAATTTAAAGCTCACAAAATGCCAGGAAGAGACAACACCGAAGGCGCAACTGAACTTGGAAAAC